TTTTGAAAGAACAAAAAACTTGGATGTAACATGTTAAAATTGAATTTTTTTTATATTTATTAAAGGAATAACATTAGCAAATAAAATTAATTAAAAACTTTATATCGATCTCATTAATTTTAGTTTATTCTTACTGATTCTTACACTGAAAAAAAATAGAAGTAAATATTTGCTCTTTGTAGACAGATTCTCAATATAAGCGTTGTGCATGGTGCATATATTTATAAAAAAATAAGTTTTTCTACTGCTAAACGTTTTTTTTTTTTTTAATAATTCATTCATCAGTTTATATATAATTTCATTCATTTGGGTACAAATTCATTTTGTGTTTCCCCCCCCCCCAACAAATTTTAAATTAAAAACTAAAACGAAAGTGAATTTTGAATTTGAAAGTCCTATTTATTTTACTCGAACTATTTACCGTGGGCGTGAAAGGCGCGTTACATGCAACACCTGGTGCACGACACGCGGAGCTGCGGATCTCGGTGCTCAGTCAACCTGGAAACATGCATGCGAATAATTGCATTAAGGGCAGCCAGCGAGACGTGGCGGGTCTCACGGGTGAGCAGACTCATCATCGCAGCTCGACGGCTCCTTGTTGGCCCGGTTTAATCAATCGATTTCCGTCGAGCGCTTCGTCAATTTGCCCGTATCAATATTTGCCTTTCGACTCTGAACGCGAGAGTGAGTTTTGCTCACGCCGAATGCCGCTTTTTGCTTCAAGTCCGTGTGTTTGTTGGAAAAGTTTCTGCGGCACCCGCGTCTAATTAATTAATTCCCACTCGTCTCAGTGTCAATAATTTACATTCTCGTCGTTTTTCCTGCACCCGCCGCCGTCCAAATTATTCAAATGAAATCAAATTTTATTCGTACACACCCGAGCGAGTTAGTCGCGCATCGATTCGCTCAATGCGGCAACTCGCTCGCTTCTGTACTCCTATTTCGACGCCGCTCTTTTATGACCGGAATAAAAAAAAGCAGCCCAAACTGCGCCCGTTCGTAATTACATTTTACAAAATTTATCATGTTGAGGCTGTGAAATGAGGGGTGTGTTGTGTGCACTCCAGAGTGGACTTCTTAAAGGGACATAAAATGGAGCAAAGTGACTTAGCCTGGAATTAGTTTGAGGTTTTGCATCTAACCAGTGGCATCACATAATAATAGTTTTTAGAGTCAGGGGAAAAATCTACTTTTTTTAAACAAAAACCTCCATTTGCCTTTCTGGAGAAAAGCAGCGGTTTTCTCAAATTTAAAATATTGTTCCATGTTTTGTATTAAAATGTCAAAAATTTGCAATTATCTGTTATGATGATGAATTTTTTACTTTGAATTAATTTAAAAAAAGCATTATACTCTTTTAATCTTCTGAAAACCATATATTTCCTGTATGGTTATTCCAGGCAAATTAATTAATTACTTAAAGTTATTTTGATACAAAGACGAAATTCTCGTCAATTGAAATTCACGCCTCACCATTCATGATGGTGCCCAGATGGCTCCTTTGCCGATGCTGCGCCTGACTGGTAGGCAGCTGTCGATGACTTGCTCGACAAATGCCGTCGGTCGTGATTGCTCCGCTAATGAATACACCACGCCACATTATTATCGTGTACATAGTTAAGAAGTAGGGGAGCCGAACTAACTCAATCAAATATTCGACCATGAATGGCCGCCATTCGGGTGCATTCAATCGCAGGGGTTGCTTGCATGGCAAAGACAGCAGCAGGCGGAGGGAGGGAAGGAGGGCGGATCGAAGTGCGGAATTATTCATTTGCATCAAGTGCACTCGGTGCATTCTCTCGGGCCAACTCGTCTGATGAAGTGTGAATTAATTTGCTCGAGTGGCGAGAAAGGCGGGTGATTATTGCGCCGCGTGGAACTGCGGGAGGAGAAATGTGCTCCAGTCAACTCAAATCCATGAAATTTTTTTATAAATTAATTGGGATAAAAAATATTTGGATTAAGTAAATCAAAGTTTATATTAAAAAGCTATTATTTTTAACAATTGACTATTGTATTTATCAACATTTCAAAATTAAAATATCCTCATATACCAAAAATATCTTTTTATATTTTATTGTTTCAAGTAATAATTTGGAATTAATATTTATAATGATTATTATGATTAAAAATATATTCTGTATTATTTATTATTTATATAAAATAAATATAAAATATTATATTATTTATATATAATAAATAGCAGGGGTCAAGGACAAGTCAATTAATACCTAGGATACTGGGATACAGTTCGATCTCATGGCGCCTTGATGGTTTTTTATTTTTAGATTCAATGCAGTTTATTTCAGACCAAAATTAATTCAATAAATGGGTATATAAGTTAAAAAGCTTAAATTGGGCGCATAAATAAATGTATGTAAAAGTATATTCCATACAAAAATGAATTATATATTAAATAATTATTAACCTAACTTATTCTTCACTGTACTTAAAATAAAAATTAAAAAATCAATAATCAATCGCAAATAAGAATTTGTCAATGACTAATTTAGCACATTTAAATTCCAATTGATTCAATTTTTACTTTTAATTCAACTAGACTGTTGCGATTTCATTGCCATTGAAACTTTCTACTGCCAATCTTGGGGACAATCTCAGCGGTCGCTCCAAATCCCCAATCAGCATCTTGATGCCAAATTGAAAAAGTCTGCGTCGTTTTATTGGCTTTGCGAATAAGACTCCGTGAGACGCCAAGTAGAAGAGAGAGATATGCAGGACCGCCGCCGCTTTTCAAGAGAGATAATCTTTTTCTCAAGGAAAAAGCGGAAAAATTCTCCACGTCGGAGTAAATATCAGATTGAATTTTTGTCAGTGCAAATGCTCAAAATGCCGCTCATGGAAGCGAGAGTGTAAGTTTAGTGGAAATAAATCGACCCTCTGCAAAAATAGAAACCAACATGCAGGAGAGTGAAAAAGCTCCTTTCCTCTCTCTCTCTCTGCTTTTTATGCTTCGGTGGTGATTGTTCTGACACGACGTCCGGACGAGTTAAACTTGGCCCGATTCTTGACAGACTACTTAATAGGGAAAAATTCGGCCTGAAATTTATGCGGGTCTGCGCTTTTAATTTGCACTCGTCGCCGAACCACATTTAGCCGGCGAATAATAATTGACTCTGCTGCCGGGCATTAAAAATAAATTTGCCGCTTCGCTGACCATTTTCATTTCAAACTTTGTGATTAATATTATATGATGGATAAAAAGAGAGACAAGCGAACCACGTGTTTATTTAGCGCAGAGGAAACACTCGTATACTTTATAAGTCGATCCTAATCCGCTGCCTAATACTTTGTATGTAAGGTGCGCGAGGGTTGAAAGACGAAGAAGAAGAGAAAACTGCTTCTTATTCTCGTCTTCTTTCTGCTGAAACGGCGAAGGTGAGATTAAAATGAAACAGGGACAGGCAGTGCGTAAGATTTTCCTCTGCAGCGAGAGCAGACAGCCGGCGAGAGAAGGAAATGAGATAGAAAGAACAAGATTTTAATGCCTCTTGAGTAGCTCTCTCTGGCAGTGGAAATCTCCTAAAGCGCTTCGAAATTATGCTCGGTGTGCGGAATGCGAAATTGGAGTTGAATTCTCCAGCCTTATCGCAAAAGGGCGCAGCTTCATTTGTTGAACTCGAGGTTGAAACTTGGAAGCTTGAATTTTAAATCTATAGTTTAATATTATAATTTTGCAAAAAAATTTGGTCATGCTTTTTATTGATTACGAATTTTGTCAGGACAATTAAAGTTCTATTAGCAATAAAATTGTCTTCATAAATTTAACCATGCACTTGGAAAAAAAGGACGAATTGCCTCCACTCTACAAAATAAGCCCAGTAATTTTCAAATATAATTTTTTTTAAGATGAAGAATTTTTTTATGTAAAAATAAATAAGGATACATAACAATTAAAAGATGTTATTTACTGCCTTAAAACGTTTCAAAAGCTTGGCACACGTTCGTTTTCGTGTCTTTTCAAACGCCAATTTATTGGAAAAAGATAAGGAAGTTTCTTTGGCGACCCACAACTCAATTTTGTCGTCGCTTGGCCAGTCGACAAGTGGAGAGTGAAAGTGAAATTGCGGTTTCTCTCGTCTGCGAGGAGAATGGCTTCACCGCCCGCAAACGTCATTTGAAAGTCATCTCTGCTGTAAAAATGACGACATTCACAATGAACAGTATTTTCTGTGGTTAAATGGGGGTGAGGTTGATAAGATTCACCGATGCAAACCTTATGACGGAGTCTTTACGTTCAGCACTAATTATTGCTCTAGATTATCCAACATTGGATGTTAAGCAAAATTTAATTTGAAAAATAAGAAAAATAAGATTGATTCTGAACAAAACAGTTTTACTTACTGCTATAAATTTATTTTAGATACATGAAGACATCGTGTCTGATTTTTTTTTTTTCAAAAAAAGAAATGGAGATTGATCGATGAGCAAAATTAATATACAAAAATATTTTTAACTCTTAACTGTTTCTACAAAAGTTTTTCATTTAAACAATATGTTTGGTATTAAGATAATGAGCAGCTTCTCCAGGAACTGAGAAATTTCTTATTAGCATTATTGGTTTATGATATTATAATTATTTGAAGAAATTACGTATAAAACCAACGTAGAAAGCATTTGTACTATCAAGAAAAAGTAATAAAAACCCGATTAGCTACGTACATACTACGTAATAAGTTTGTCTTGTTAATGGTTATTGCAATTTTAACGCACTGTTTTATTGTTTAATAGTTTTACCGTCCATTCCAAATAAAAAAAGGAATATTTATAATTAAAAATATTGCCCTCTCAAATAAAAATCCATTAATTGCGGTTAATCTACAATCGTGTTCCAAGATTTTGCGCTAATCCAATTTTTAAGTAATTTTTATTGACATATCCAATTAAATTACTCCATTTTGCGATAAAATAATAAAACAATTCCATTCCAAGATTGTTGGTTTAGATATATAAGGCTTAGCTTTTGATGCAAGAAATTTCATTTGCAAAAAATGGCTCTTGCAGAAGCGTTTACCATTCTCTTCCTGTGCACACTGATGTCTTTTAGCCAAAGCGCTATTGTCACCAACCAGACCATCGTAGAAATTTCAGGTATTGGAATAGAAATTATTTTGTGTTTATCAGAATATTTTTTCTGCGTATCCATCTTCATACAAATATTATTAAAGGATTTTCTGATGTAATTGAATCGGCAAATCCAAGACGATCTTTGAATAATGGCTCTAGAATTATTGGTGGTACAAAAGCTGACATTCTTAATTTTCCTTACCAGGTATTATTATTACATTTATTTATTCAAACAAAGTGTAGTGTACGAATAATGAATATTTGCTTCTTCTAAAGCTCTCCCTGAGGTATAACGGTTCTCATTATGGTGGAGCTTCCATAATTTCGTCCACATTTGCACTAACCACGGCATATTGCGTTGAGAGAGGGTGAAAATTACTAAAAATACAAGACCACGCATGTGATTAGCTTTAATAAAAATAATATTTCCGTCTATATAAGTGACGCAACGCGCAGTGTGATCCGCTGCATTATAAGCAGAATATTATTCCAAATAATTATTATTATTTTTTTTTCAAAACACTATGCTATGCGTGGTCTATTTATTTTACAGAAAATTTTGCTCAACATCTTTTTTATTCCACTAAGCAGAACAGATCAATTGAGTGTGCGAGCTGGCTCGAACCTATTGAATGGTGGAATCGCCTACGTCCGCAGTGCCAGGAGAATTCTCGTGCATCCGAGGTGGAACACAACATCTAATATTTTTGATTATGATGTTGCTCTCATTGAAGTATAATATAATCATGAAGATTAAAATGTAAACACATAAATATTCTTGGCAAAAGGTTTCCAAACCATTCTGCTGGAAGTCTAATGTTAGGCCCGTGAGGCTTCCACCCTATGGTTACATCGTCCCCAGCGATGATTTAGCAACTCTTTCTGGATGGGGACAAACGGTAATTTCTTTGAATTACTTTAATTCTTTACTAATGTCAGAACTCCCTCCTGATGATCCTGATTAAAGCTTATTTATAAGAATTTCGATTAATTTTAAATCTATTGTAGAGGGCATGAATAATTTAAATTATCCACTTAACTCAGGAATCTGGACAAGGTTCTTCTGAACTTCTATACACTAGAGTTCCTGTATTGAGCAATGAAGAATGCACAAGACTTTGGCCTGCACGCAATAACATCACTGACAGGATGATTTGTGCAGGAAGAGGAATACCTGCTGCGTGCTATGTGAGATTTTCTTATTTTCCCTTTAAATATTTATGTGCATTAAAAAAGCAACTCTTGTCGATAATGACCAAATTTTTGGTACAGCGTGACAGAAACAAGTTCAGAGAATATTCCTTATTATTATTGTTGTTGTTTATTCTTCACAAATCAAGTCAAATGAGAAAAAAATTACAAAATGTGAAGAAACACGGCAACCACTCTAGCAAACAAGTTGCTAAAACGCGGGGCCTCAAGAGAGGTCCGCGCCGAGATGGGCCTTGCAATCAGCGGAAACTTAAAGAAAAAATATGCTCTTCGACCACTTCAAGTAGTCTGATTTATTTATTTGACCGGAAAAAATATTCGTTTCTTTCTAAAAACAATTTTAACTTACGGAATTTAAAAATTCTTATCTGCAAGGGCGATGGCGGCGGATCTTTGGTGGTTAATGGAGTACTAGTTGGAATAAGCTCTTTCATTATTCGAAATGGATGCAGCGGAGGATACCCTGAGGGATATACCAGAGTGGCAGAACAAGACATCCTCGCTTGGATTTTGGCCAGCATCGGCAGTCTTTAAACAAATATTATTGTTAAGAGAGTATGGTATCCCAGATAATTTCAATGGTTTAAATTAAGTAATTTTGAAATCAAATAATGTTTTATAATTACTTTATTGTAAGCACAACACTCATTGTACGCATTGAAAAAAAAAACTTGAACATCGCTTCATAAAATGTAATTTTAACCATTTATAAATAAATAATGTGAATAGAAATGAGCAAAATTAAGTTAATAATAGTAGATTATAGTGTTGGTAGAAAGCTCTGCTCACTATCATCTCAAAAATTATCTAATTTAGCCTATTTACAATTATTATAATGTTACAAATTGATTAAAAACATCTTTTTCAAGCACGAGTTTTACACTAATTATCATTATTGAAAAGTCAGCTAACATAATTCAGAAATGTAAAATTGTAAAGTAATTTTTACATTGTACCAGGTTGAAAAATATAGTCTCTATCCCAAACGTAAACCGTAAAATATTTTGATTTCTATTATTTGGAATTTCAAACACGAATTTTCTTCAGTGTGCTCCGTTTAGATTTGTTGTTGATGGCAGGTTAATCAGAAGACATATGGGTGTGCGGAATTTAGGCGAATTGCTTCTGCCAAGGAGCAGACGTTCCGCTTTGCAATGCAAAATAACGTGCACATCCGACGGTCCGTCCTGCTCTATGCCACGTTCTTTGAGTGCGTATTATCAAGTTTTAAATATTTAATAGAGGCTGCAGAGAGCGCAGGTCATTAAAAGTTGCTGTGTGCGGCGCCGCCCCAGAGTCGGCCGGAAAATATAACGACGAGGGCCTCTCTGTGCTTTTCGCCTAGTAAGCGTTAACTTTTATTCAAGAAAATAATTATCTCGACGAAAAATTCGTGCTCCCTCTTTCTCCGTTAACGCCGCACGTGCGTTTATTGTCCCTAGTCATGAAACGCGGCAAGGTTCTCGGAAAATTTCCTGCGGCTCGTTTCGAGTGTTACTTTAATTAATAGTCGCGGCGGCGGCACCGACGTTTCTTGCGATAGGAAAAGCGGGTTTGGAACGACACGTTAATTAGCCAGTGGTTTGGTGACACTTTTTTTAAACAAAACTGAGCGTAATTAGCTCAAACGAGATAATTTGCTTCAAGCTGAAAAACAGCCCAAAGTATTTTTTGTTTTTATTATTAAAAATTATAAGAGAATAAACATTTCACAGGTTAAAAAGCGATTGCAAGATTATTTAAAGCTTGCTTAAAAATATTAAATTTTTGTAATCGGCGTTTTCTCATCTGAAGCAATTAAATGGAAAACAAATACCAAACAGGTGGAAACGGTTGAAAAAATTATCATTCTCTTTATTCATTATTATCATAATTAATTTATTTTCATATCAATTAATTAATTACTAATTTTTTTTATTTTTATATGTGTATCTGCAAAACATCTAAAAAAATGAACATTTGTGCCTAGATCGCATATTACTTTCTGAAGGAGAGCTAACAAATTATTTATTATAAAATGACAAAACAACAAGGAATTTTACTTACATAAAATGCAACTTGTCACAAAAATAAATTTTGTTCAACAATACACAAATTATAATTATTTTGAAATATAAAATTAAAATTAAATTAAAAGTTAAATAAAATTTTTTTAAAACCTTTGTAGACTATATAGATAAAAATTTAATTATTTTTTTAATAATATAATAATTTGTAAAAATGTCTCTTCTTTTTTTATAATGCAATGTAGCAATTAGTTGAACAAATTTAATTAGTTAACCGATTTAATTTTTAAATTGCTTCATTATGTATTTGTCTGCAGCCCTTTAAAGGACAATCCAATGTCTTAGATTAAATTCAAGGAAGCAATTTTTACTGACCTCAGTCGTAACATGGTCTTTATCGACCGAATTAGAAATTCATATTTTTCCATCCGGTGAACCTCAACCTGAACAGTCTCCTCGCGTGCAGCGTAAAGAAAAAAAAATTAGGAAAGGTCTGCCTATGACTTTGATCTGACCAATGAATTTCTGCTCAGGTGCCTTAGTAGGGTATATTTGCACTAGAAATACGTAGAATCTCGATTATCTTTCGCGCTATATAAATTCACTTAAAACACGACTGCGTAAATTTTTAATAAAAAGTTTGAAGAGGATTCATGCGTTATCTCTCGTGATTGCGCGCACACCAAGTTTGGCCGCGCGTTAAAATAAACTTTATTACGCGCGCGCTGTGCAAGTATGAGTAACCCCGGCCGCCGCGATAATATTTACAGCCGCAATTATCTTTATGGGAAACTTCCAAAGTGCTCGCTGCACTTTCGCAAAAGGCAGAGACCGTCGGCGAAAAGTGCCAGTTTGGCTGCGAGTTTGCAGGACATACTCTCTTGAGATTTATGACTCTATCACGCACTTTGGCCTCACAGACGATAATATAATTTTTGGAGAGAGTGGCGAGAAATCTTGCTTTCTAACTGATTTAATTCGATTTGTTCTCAACTCCAGTGAAAGGGAAAGAGAATTTTGGATCAGTTATTAATATTAATTTAAAATACAAGCATAATTGAATTAATTTCTTGCAAATTTTTTGTAATTTAATTACATGAAAGAATTAAAAAATAATTACAAAAAAAATCACGTTTTTTTGTATTTTGGTTATAAGTTTCAAATTTAAGGCTGAAATATTAATTTTTTTAATTAGACAAATTAATTTTACTCTATTTTCAAGGCTTTTTTAATTATTAAATATAAATTTTGTTGTAAATTGTAAATAATTCAATTTGATATCAGAAGGAAAAATATACATTTTGTTAAATTTAAACATAAAAAAATCTGGTTTGTCACTTTCCTCCTGTTATCCTCAGTCACACTGCTATCTCTCCTCCTGGTACGTTCTCATCAGAAATAATTAGCAACGACCGGTGGCATCTCCGTTGATCTATGGAGCCGCGGCGGCGTGTGTGAAAATGTCTTTGCGAGTGATTTATTGCCTCCTCCGTGTGTGGGAAGCTCACGTTCGCTGACATGAAATGAGCCACCCAAACCAAAGGTGAATTCATATGTACACCTATAGTAGCGGAAGAGTTATTATTTTCATTACAAGCCACCTCGCGAGAGAGGCACTTTGCATTCCATTGTGGCGAGGAAAGTGCCCATGAAAATGGCGTGAATCATGACTGGTGTAAAAGGAAAATAAGGTAACCTTCAAACGTTATCATGGGAAAGTTGTAATTTAAATATGCTGCGTGAATTGGAAAATTCAAGGTGGTAGAGAAATTTCTGACTAATTTGCTCTAAATTGCTAGAAAAGCGTAAATAAATTTAAAATAAAAAAAGCTAACGACAAATGAGCAATGATTAAATCTAATATTTAAATATTTTACTTCAATTTGTTAGTTTTAAGATTTGAATTTCTTTTAAGTGTGGTTTTTTTTAATTTGCTGATTTTTTTTTTATTGCTCATGAAATAGGGTCGCACAACGTTACCAAAACAGGCCGAGTCTTTTTGTTTTTGAATAGAAACAATTTTTTACAACAAAGAAAAAGCCCGAGTTCTTCACTGCCATGATAATCTCCTCCAGTTTCAATTTCTTTTAAAACAAAATATTTTTTTTAACATAGAAAGTAGGAAAATATTCTGCACATTAAATTCATATTTCTACTGTAAATATTGAGGGATCAGATGCTAAAAATAAAGCTCTTATTGTTGGCTCCTGATAATTATGATAATTATTTTATTTTGTTTGATTTTTAAGCTTCAAATTAGGATTCCATAGCATCATTTTTCTTTCTTTAATACTTCTAATTATGTTAATGATACATTTATGAACAAGATAATTTAAAGAACAGAAAGTATTACATTTACACTTCCGTTTATCTTCAGCCTTTTTATGGCCTCTTGTTTCAAAATTCCTTTGCTAAGATTTTATAGCTTCAAACTTTTGTAATGTTTCCATTAATTTTTTTTTCTTATTAACGATTACTTTCCTGACAATAAATTCTAATAATGAATTAGATAAGCCTTCTCCAGTTTCATTTAAGTACCTTTTCCATTAGTATATCTGCAGGTCGGAAAATTAATAACCGTGGTCAGTGCTGGGTCACTGGTTTTAACAATATTATCGCTCATAAGAGCATGCAGCCGACGAATTAATTAAAACAGCCAGCAGCGATTTTCATTCCCTGCATGCAAAGATTAACATGAGCAAAGGAATGTGGCCATCGCCATGTCATTTGGCTCGGCGTATCTCGTTTAGCGAACTGCCATCAACTCTCTCTTGCGGAGGAAGGTTCTCTCTCTGCTCTCTCTCGAGATAATTCCATTCGCAACGAACGACAGAGATACCTAGATGCAATTATTTGCAGCGACGGCCCTTTTGAAAGGCTGCTTTACGGTACATGTGATGCATAATGTGGGTCGCGCATTGATTAACAAGCGGCACGTCCAGCGGGGATTATATTTTGCTGTGTATTTACTAGGCGAGCTAGCGAGCGAGCGTCGAGAGCGCTGGTTAGTGAGTAGCGGAATAGTCCTTTGACTCAATTTTCGCTCTTTATTCCGGCAGTTATTAGTGAGCAGCGAAACTCTCATTGCAAGCATACAGCATGTTATGGCACTGCATTACGTCAATAAGGTGCACTAGAGCGTGCTTCGTGTCAAAGTAAAAGTTATGAGAAGTCATTTATCACTTTTCAGTTGATTTTTAACTTCTGGCTCGCAAAAGTTTATATCAACAATTTTCAGAATCATCAAAAACTATTACGTGTTTTAAAATATTTCTTTTTTTACTAAAAAAAAAATTTAATTGAATTTGAAACATTTCCAGTAAAAGAAAAGCTGCTTTTTAAGAAAATCTGCATAAATTAAAATAAAATTACAAAGAATATTTCAATGTTCCAAAATTTATAAAGGCACTGATATTCAATTCACTCAAACTGACTATTTTAAAAGTAGTTTCTTTTAATTTAGAATAAAATCATCTTCTTTTGAAGTTTTTGTGCTGAATACAGCATGAGAATAAAAGTAAAATTTAAAGTATCGCGAGCAAGTCTGAAATTAGTCCAAAATTGAATGGAAAATAATTGTAAAAATGTTCTTTGGAGCGAATTAAAGTGAAATCAAATTAAAAATTACACATTTATTATCTTGCTAAAAAAAAAAAATATGTGGATAATGTTTAGTTGACTTGGCAACCATTAAATCAAAGAATAAGAATTAAATTTGAAGTTTCCGTTTTTTACCCCCTTTTTTAATTAAAAACTTTTTTGATGACACATCTACACGGATCAAAGTGGAAAAGTTTTAGCAGACAGTTCGCTTATCCGAGCCGATGAGAATCGCAGTCGCTGATCCTGAGCTGCAAAAGTGAGATAG